TGGTTCATGGGGTCACGGAGAGTCGGACACGACTTAACGACTAAACAACAACAACAACAGTGAAACTCTAGCAACTCTTAGTCCAGGGCCAATATATGGTCCCTAAGCCAACCCAGGGCCAATATATGGTCCCTAAGCCATCTTTTCAGTATGTGGAAACCCAAGATCATGTTACTGAAATTTATTAGCAAACCATAACATAGAGACTGGTGTTAATGGAAAATCAAATACATTTTTCTACCCCAAAATTAATTAGATGCCCTTGACTTTATGATTTGTGCTACACACACACACACACACTAATATGCCCATGTTTGTGTATAAGAATTCTGAGTTAGAGATTTCTCATTTTTTAAGATTATAACATATATACTTTAAAAACCTATGAAATTTTACAGAAAGATCATTGCCACCCTATTTTCCTGACACTTTGTTTTATTTAAGATTGGGACAGGGAAAAATTACTTGAAGCTTGGATGACTAATCCAGAGAACTGCTGCCAGCGTTCAGGTGTTCAAATGCCAACACCACCCCCAAGTGGTTATAATGCCTGGGATACACTTCCTTCACCAAGAACTCCTCGGACTACTCGTTCTTCTATCACTTCTCCAGATGAAATTAGCCTCTCACCAGGGGACATTGAGACAACTATGGTATGCTTCATTCTTAAGAAAGCTTTCTACCATGATGCAATATTTTATTTATTAGATTTGTATCCTTCTTTCTGTATAGGTGCTCAAGGCAGTGTACACAGTGCTCTCTCCTATTTTTCCCCCCACAATAACAACCCTGTGAGATAGGTTGGGCTGGAAGAACATGACTGACTCAGGGTCACCCAGTGAGTTTCTTTGTCTGAGAGTGAACAAGAACCTCAGTCTCCCTGCTCCCAATCCAACACTTTAACTAATATACCACACTAGCTCTCTATATACAACAATATATTATTTATATAAATAATATTACATTTCTAGGTTGTCTCTGATTTTGCAGAATGATTTGCATACTTGCCATATTAATAGTTTTTAAAATACAGAACTAGGAGCTAATTTTGCTTGATATGAACACTCATTTTAGTATTTTACTATTTTGACTATTGATAAGAAATAAGAAATATTTGCTGAGTCATATTTTTCAAGTAGCTGCAATAACATCTTTTCTATATTAGATAGTAGAATGAAACCTCACTTTGCCCAGAAAAATATTGCTATTATGCTACATCTTCATTAGTCCTGTTTAGGCAACACCTTTGTATGCAGAACTGAACACATGAGCAGTAATGAGCAGGTGCTACCCTTCTCATTCTGTGCTGAGATGCTGGAATGATCAGAGTTTCAGCTCATGTGGAAACCTTTGTGCGTACACAGTAGCTTGCCACTGCAGATAATCATATTGTACTCTTGGAGACCGGCTCTCCTATGATGTCACAAATGTGGTTAAGAAATTGATAGGTCTGCACATTGCTCCTCCTGTGTGGAGATCTATCTGCAAATATGTCTATTGGAACAGCATTTATATTTGCTACTTGTGCTCATTAAGATTAGTTTTGTGATTAGGATTTTTTTGTTTCTGTTTTTGTTTTGGAAAGCCTGGGTTTCAAGAAGGCTGTCATTTTTCAAGGGATTTTATTTCCCTGTCTTCCTGATATGAGAGGTAGAGCCTTCTTGCAATCTGATAAGAATTCTTAATGGGGCAAAGGACAGCTGTTTTTTATATGGCCAATAAATATAAATGCAACACAAACAAAGGGAGTAAACAATTGAACAATGCTTTCTCATAAAGCCTTCTTTTTCTCCTTCTCTGTGTTATACATACATATATCAGATGATTCAGATTAAGCAATAAAAAGGTACTGTTATTGCCATCAGTAAAACTGGGTTGTTGGAATACAGAAATCTACTTTATGTACTCCTGAGAGCTTGAATGTGCCTAGAAATATTTCCTTCCATCCTTCTGTCCTTCCTATACATTTTTGCCACATAGCAAAGCGAACTGTTATTTGAGAAATATCAATTGAAACTATTGTTAAACATGTAAAACTAGTGCTGTTTTTGAAGGCCAATATACCTTTAGGAGGGGAAAGGTGAAAGCTGCCACTATGGAAATATCCCTTTAATGTTAACTTCATGGTCTCTTGACTGTCTACCCTTCTGTGAAGAGCAAAATAGTATATTTTGTTTCGTCTTTGTTAGTATTGGAGTGAGATGTCTGATATTTGACCAATTACATAAAAAAATGTATGTTGTTAGATTGTGATCAATTTTGTGGCTATTTTTTATTATTATATAAGATGTTCTTGCAGTTTCACGGAAAACCTAAATTTTAGTTTCTGTTGTATGTAATCCCTTCACCATACTTAACTTTTTCTTGTTTCTGCTTTCTGTCTCCCTCTTACATTAGAAACAACAATCTCTTTGTCTAATTTTAAAGGTCAGCCTGCTAATACTCTGGTACAGTAGACAATAAAGGATATTACTGTGTCGTCTTGCATGCATCAGTGAGAGCAGCACACTTTTAATATATCAAAGGTCTTTTCATTGTAATTAGAAAATCCCTTTGCAAAATAGTCCCTTTTTAATACTCCACACAGTTCCCTTTTTAAAAAGAGTTTTGGAATCATGTTTTTCTATATTTGCTTTGTCAGTATCAACCATAAACTCTCTAATTAAATATGTATAAATAGTGTAGGTTTATGTATGCTTGCCCCATCCCTAGCATCCAAACCCTGTTTGTGTTTCTGATCTTGCTAGGCTGAGTAGCGAAGTTTAAAATGGACGTGTACTTGTATTCACCTGAAGTATGAGTAGAGTGCTCTATGACTAGACACTCCCCTAAAACAGGGTCCCTATTATAGAGAGTTCCATTCATATTTTTTTCATATATATATTTTAAACAGTTTATGCTATCCAGTCTCCCATTTTATAGCTATAAGCAGCTCCCAAAATCTAAAATTCAGTAACAAAAGGTCTAAGCCAAATGGGATGTAAAAATATGCTTTAAACCCTGTCCTAAACTCTAACAAAAAGGGAGTACCCTTGACTTCAAAAGTATTTGTTCCATAGTGCTCCAATACAGAAAAAGCAGTGTTGGTTGCTAATATTAAATCATCAGTAGCAAGAGGTGTCCCACTGTGGATTTAAGAGTGCGGGACAGACTATACAAGAGTAAGTAGTTCTAGCAAATTGGGCCCAAGTCATGGGAAGCTTTATAGAGCATAGTCACAACTTGGAATTGAATCTGGAAAACAATGGGTAACCAGTGAAGCTGTTGGGGAGGTGGAGGCATTAAGTAAAAGCATTATTCACTATCCATGCTACTGCATTTTGAGGCATATTGTCTTGATAGGCTACTTCACAAACAGCATGGCAATATTCTGGTAATTTGATGTTACCAGTGGATGCATTGTCCATATTAGATTTCTCTCCTTCAGAAAAGGGTGGTACATCTGATTTATCAGCCAGGCTGATAAAAAGCCTTCTTGTGACCTATGTAATATGGCTGTTCAGCATCAATGAATTCAAGGATAATATATAACATTGATAGTTTTTTTGGGTTGGGAGTTTCAACCTCTAAACTTTGGGAAATATAACATAGTTGAATCTAATTTTTCAGTTTACAGAATAAAAAGAGTAACATTTTACAGAATGAAACTGATTTTTTTGTTCATTGCTCTTTTGAAATGCCAGAAACTTTTGAACCAATCAACATATGTTGTTACTTTTACCTTCCTCAACTAGATCTCTTCATCACCACAACCTCTATATGTAGTTACTCTCACATTTCAGCAACATCAAACTAAGGGCAGTATAAATGAAAGAAATGAGAAGGAAGAAATTAGAAGAGACCTTGTACCAGACCAGACCATATTAACACACAAATGAATTTTTAAACTCATTTTTTTCTATCTACAGTGTGAAATTTGTATGTGTAATATTTCTGTCTTTGAAGATCCAGTAGATATGCCTTGTGGACATGAGTTTTGTAGAGCATGCTGGGAAGCGTAAGTACATATTTAATCATTTTTATATAAAAATTACTGTTGGTTGGTCCACAGTCTAATTCTTACAATTATATTTCAAAAGCAGTTTTGCTATATAAATGCTTGTTATCATCAGAAATAAGAAATCCTGTTTATGTACATTAAAATGTACAGAATCATTGCAAGAGTATAGGAAAATATAGAGGTCGCTGAAGCCAAAAAAGCTTACCGGAACAATTTTTCAAGTGAAAAGGGATATACACAGATGGTCCTAAGCGAAAGCAGCCCCAAATGTCCAAAAGTACAGTTTTTTAGAGTCACAGCAAAGGTCATGGCTGGAAAACTGAGCCAGAGTTGTTGGTTGTTGTGTGCAGCATTGGGGAAGAAGCCAGCCAGTTTGTGAACATCAGTTCATTTGTAGCAATACATGCTGATTGAACAGGCTCCTTTCTCCACTGGACATGAGAAACTATTTGTTCCTCCTGGACTCAGTTTTCAGCTGTCACTCCTCTTCCAAGAGAAGTATGGCAAATATACTCATATCATGAAAGGTAAATTAGCAATACTCAGAGAAAACACACATTCTGAAAAAAAAAATCAGACATAAATAAGACATTTGCATTTCGCTCTCTCCTTCCTCCTTAGGCAGGGCATTCACCAAAAAAAACAAAAAAAAAATCAGACATAAATAAAACATTTGCATTTCGCTCTCTCCTTCCTCCTTAGGCAGTGCATTCACCAAAAAAAACAAAAAAATCCCGTAAGAAATCTCACATGTGACACACAACGTACATAATGTAATACAGTACAGGGATAACAGCCACCCAGTATTTGGATACAACTCTGTCTTTTTGCAATCTGCTGCTTCCATTTGCTGGCTTAAGCCTTCTCCCCACTATTTTCTCCCAGGCTGGCTGATCACGATCTAGGAGATAGCTTCTTCTAAAGCTAAATTGATTAGATGCCCCAAAAAGCAAATGTAAAAGAATGGGATAAAGGGGATTGAGTCAAAATTTGTGTTTGTGGGTGGGCCTCAATCCAAACCTTTTTTTGGATTATGATGCTTTTATCATCATAAGACTCAAACATTTGAAGTTTATTATGATAAAAACAACCCTATGTTAATCTTTCATGTATATTCTTCATTTTGCTGATCACCTCCAGTGTGGCTGAAAAAACATTTGGAACTTTTTGTCTAACCACAAGTTGTTGGATTGTCCAGATAGATAAACTATTATTGAATGTTAATTTTGCTCTGTGTCTTTGAGTAAGTTAATACTTGTTTTTCAATCTTAATATACATTTAATAGGTTTTTGAATATGAAAATTCAGGAGGGTGAAGCCCACAATATTTTTTGCCCAGCATATGATTGCTTTCAGCTTGTTCCAGTGGAGATAATAGAAAGTGTGGTTTCCAAGGAGATGGATAAACGCTACCTACAGTTTGATATTAAGGTAAATGAGAATGTGGCTTAACCATCTGGTTGAGTTTATTATTCTAAACCAAAAAGAACTCACTCAGAAAGGCAGGCAAATAATTGAAAACTGTTCCCCAGAACCATCATAGTACTTGACTACTGCACTGGAAAATAATTTATATTCTGTCACCATCTGAAATACTCTGTTAATTAGATGTAAATATAATTTAAAGCCCTCTTTGAGCTTTGCATCTTATGAACCTGGGACAAGCCACTGGGTGATTTGGTCAGCAATTAGCTGAGAACAATTTGTTTTTTTTTACACACACACACATATACATACACACACACACATATACATACACACACACACATATACACACATACATATACATATACATACATACACACACATACTCTGTGTGTGTGTGTGTGTGTGTAAATAAATAAATTTCAGTATGTTGGGATACTACAATTTCACTTAGTAGAATTAGGACCTGCTCTGTCTTCAGTGGCTCCCTCAGGTGAATCTTATCAGAGTTTCCTATCATTGTAACATTTTGTTTTTAAATTATATTAATATTCTAGATAATTTTCATAATGTTTCATACCATATAATTCCTAGGCTATATGTTGCAAATCAGTAAAATTATTTAGCATGATATATTTTTATTCTTCTTATAGCTATTTTAAGCCATATAGCTGCTTCAGGCTAGAAAGCTTTTTCATCAGCTGAACTGTGTTACAGAAAGATTTAATTCACAATGGGAACTAACTTCCATTTCCGTTTTGTTTTTGTTTTTAGGCCTTTGTTGAAAATAATCCTTCTATTAAATGGTGCCCTACACCAGCATGTGAAAGAGCAGTCAGGCTCACAAGACAAGGATCTAATACAAGTGGTTCAGAAACACTTAATTTCCCATTGTTAAGAGCCCCTGCTGTGGATTGTGGGAAAGGACATCTTTTCTGCTGGTAATGCTTGTTTGTATTTGACCCTGGAAATTTTACTGGCTAGTTTGGGCTAGTTTTGAAAGGCAGTACATTTATTGAACTGCCCTTGTATTAGCATTAAAATAATTAACATCTGTGGGAGCTGATATAATTAATGTTTTGCTTATATATATTGCTGCATATCTCCAACATGCTATTCTGATTTTTATCTCCTCATATTCTGGCTGTTAATAAGCTTGTTTATTCATCACTTTTTTGTCTTTTAAATTTCAGTATTCCTTGAAATTATACAAATGTATAGGATTATAATATTTAAAGTAAATTGTATATCTCCCAGTGAAATTCTCGATTTCTTTAATTTTAAAAAGTCAACATACCAAACTTTAAGACAAAAGCTAAATTTCAAAACAAACTTTAAATACCACATAATTATAAAAGGAAAATAAAACCTTTTATGTTTATATTTGGTATTTCTATACAAAAGAATATTTGTACAGAAGAAGATGATACGTTTAAAAATGTATTTCTGAAATGTGATTGTTTTATAGATTTATAGCTAATATAGTGATTAATATTTATCTCATTGCCAAAAAATGTATAGTTCTTTAAATAAGATTAATTAAAGCTTGGTGCTAAACTTTGTAATAGATCACATTTACTGCATTTTGCTCTGCACATTTACTGCATTTTTTTATTTTTTATTTTATTTTATTTTTGGAGTATGATTCCTTTTCTGTTATACTCTTCCAGAAAAATACAGACCACAAGGATTTAAAAATCCAGCTTTGAATGTGTACTTCATTCCTTCTAGGGAATTTTAGGAAACAGAGGGAACAGTACTGGCTATTGTTAAGAAGAAAAGCAATTTAATAACGGTACATGTTCCAGAGAAACAGACTGAACCTATTTTATTATAACATTAAAATATAAACAGCCTACTGTCTATTTGCTAGGTCTATATAGATGTCTGCACTTCTTGCAAGAAAAAAACAAATTAATTCTCTCTGAATATGTACGCATGCTCACAAAGCTGGAAGAAGAGCCTCTCAATCCAATTTTTCCAATTTGTGTTGTTCTATAGTATTATGTTTTTCTTTTAAAGTTCTGCTTTCTGATTTCGTTCCTTTGTCTGATGAACAACAGGTTGGCTATTTGGTAATCTTTCATTTACAAAAAAGCATTTTGAGAGACATGCCCATACATTCCCTTCAATACAGTAGCTTTTTCCCTCAAACTATTTGTTTACTTTAAATAGCGCAAACTATAGTTGTCTTGCTTTTTGTATGTTGGATATATGTAGTAGTAGGTAGCTGAAGGTTATATTTCATATAAAAGAGTTGTAACCGATTTAGAAATCATATTTACACATGTATACTCAAGCACGATCTGGAATCAGTGCATCTTTTGTTCCAGAAATCTTATTGTATTTTTAAAAATGAGTAATGAAAAGTTATCTGTTTAATTCAAACCCTTAAATATATTCAGATTAATTCCAACAAACATGAACTGAAGGGAAACCAAGCACTGAAAGTTATACAAACCTTTTTTTAATTCTATGAATACAGGTTCAGCAGGTAAAAATAATAATTATTCCTTTTAGCTATCATTTTAGATTTTTTAATATTAAGTCTATTTCTGCATATAGTGTGTATATTATTAAAATATTTTACTTTCATCATTTTTTACTTTGACTTTTTTTTTTTACTAAAAGCCTTTTTTTCTCAGAATGTTTTCCTGAATAATTTGTATTTGTACACAACTGTCTTAAAGCATATTATTTATTCATAGATTGCCCAGAAGGAAAGTTGTTTTGTTTATATTCTGCACTTATATGCTATTCCAGTTATTGTCTCTGAGCAGCTTACAAACCTTCCTCTGTAAATAAGCTTAAAATAATTCATAATAAGAAATAAAACATAAATGACAAAGTCATCCATTACTTATTAGCCAAGGAACAATACTATTCAATTAACTTTTTAAAATAAGAATGTCTTTATCTATTTTTCTAAAAATGTTATGCACACACAATTAACAAAACAATATTTAAATAAAGATTAAATAAATTAAAATAGAAAAGAGACAACCCCACACAAACTAAAAACGTAGACAACAAATACCATCCCACTTCAAGAGGAAACAGCCTCATAACATAACTACCCCTATGGAATAGGCAAGTTTTAGTAGCCCTCCTAAAACCCAGCAAGGTCGGGCCAAACAAATCTCAGGGGAATGCTATTCCAGATAAGGAAGACAACAGTTTGAAATTGAAAAGGGTCACGTTCATGGATCCCTTGATGTATTTCCTGTGAGAGGGAACACAAGGGGAGCATATGTTTCACAATTCCTTATTTTCCTTGCCAAAAAAATACTCCAGGTACAGAAGATCTTTCTTCCATGAACATTTAGGAGTTGTAACACAAGAGTTGGTAGTGCAGTAGCAGTAGGCTACAAGGATTCCAAGTAGGCTACAAGGATTTCCAGATGTAAATATTGTACTTAAATAAAATGTTTTGAATAAATGTCTTTTATCCAAACTGTTCAACAAAATAGTTGAAATCTTCTTAGAAAACTAATTATTAACTATTTTTGCATTAGAACTCATGGGAATCCATCTTTTTCCTTTTTAATTAGATGCTCAATACAGATAGTCCTTGGTTAACAACCACTCGTTCAGTGACTGTTCGGGGTTATGACGACAATGAACAAGTGGTACTTAGGACTGGTCCTCAAAGTTCTGACTGTCCCAGCACCCCCACGGTCATGTGATCACAATCTGGGTGCTTGTCAACTCTCTCATACAACAGTTGTAGCATCCTGCAATCACAAGATTGTGATTTGCAACCTTTCCTGCCAGTTTCCCATAACCAAAGTCAGGGAAGGTTGCAAGTCACTCAGATAAGTCTCCCCCACTCTGCAGCAGCCACACCGAGCCCTCCATGCTCCCGCTGCACCTCGCCAGCCCCTCATGCACCCTCCAACACCCTGCAGCAGCCATCCCAAGCCCTGCTGGTCTCATGTCATCCCCTTGCATACCCTCCCACACCCTGCAGCAGCTACCCCAAGCCCCCCAGGTCGGCCCCTTGCGCACCCTCCAGCACATTGCAGCAGCCCCCCAAGTCTTGCTGCACCAGCCCCTTGTGCACCATCCTGCACCCTGCAGCAGCCCCCCCAAGCTCCATTGCGCTTGTGCCCTGCTGCAACAGCTCCTTCCACACCCTCTTGCACCCTCCCGCATCCAGCAGCAGCTACCTACTTCCCCACCAGACTGCTTGCGAACTGCCCAGGACTTGCAACTTCCTGGTAGCTTCCCCACTGACTTTGATTGTTGGAAGCTGGCAGGAAGTTGCAAGGGGGTCCTCACTTAACAATGGCAATTGGGATTGCCAGGATTGCTGTTGGTAAGTGATGCAGTCACATGATGTCACACTGTACAACCGCATTGCTTAGCAATGGAAATTCCAGCAATCCCCGTTGCTGTTGTTAACTGAGGACTACCTGTCCCTCCAAAGATTGCCAACCTCTGTTATAAGGAACACATATCACTGTAAATTACCCAGGATATTGGCAACTAAGGTTGTAACTTGATAGTTGACAACAAGCAATATATACTGTTACTATATATTTTAGAGCTTACCACTAGAAGACTGGCTATTCCTAGCCATGGTCACATTTCTCTCTCCATCAGGCACCTGCTATTCTTTTGTAATGCATACAAAAGTTCCTGAATTGGTCTGTGAGGGCCAGTATTTTAGGAAAAGATAAACTTATGCCTAATAGATGGGTGACACAGAAAGAATAACTACCTTGAATAATTTTGGAAATCCTAGCTCATAGTAGTTTGGCCTGTTATTTGAGAGCTGGTATTCAGTATTTGGTCTGTCTTTAACAACCAGGGTGTTGGAGTGGTGTGAGATTAGAATCAAGGAAGCCAAGGTTCAAGTCCATAGTTAGCCACGGCTTCTGACTGGGTAACTTTGGATCAATCACTTTCTGTCTCAGCCCAATCTACCTTACAGTATTGTCATGGGGGTAAAATAAACTGAGACCTTCTAAGTAAGCTGTCTTGAGAAAACACAGTATATATCTAACAGATAAAAATATCAGCAAATAAATTATACCCTTCTGACTAGGATTCACTCATGGTCAAGGGAGGCTTTGTACAGTTCTATGCAAAATAGTCAAGTCATCAGTAGACTTCAGACTGATGGTCTTTCTGCCCATATTCACTTATCCCTCATCAGCATAACAGGACCTTATGGAGATCAGATCTACCATCCTGGAAGTTATTACTCCAACATTAACTCTTAATATTCCTCCTTATCTTTCTAACAATTTCACTCCAACTATTTTTTATTCCAAACAAGGGTGAGAGCATTTTTCTAGTTCCCAGTCCATCTCAGTCTCAAGGCTCTATTTTACACCCTCTAAGTTTTGAATGATCAGTATTTGGATTATGTTATTGTTGCTCCAGCAGATACACTAATTTGCTCTGAGAGATTTGAAAGATACATACCTTCACTGCCATCATACTGTACTGCCAGCATCATGCCATAAGAATTCAAGTCTTATCCTTTGGGCTGCTTACAGCATTGCATTTATGCAGAGTTAACACACCTCACCTGTTTCTTCACTTTTAGTAAAATCTCAATTTCAGGCATCACTGCTCTTATTGTAGGAAATGAAGGCAGCTATGCCGAAATATGTATTGCGTAGGGGCAGTCCTTCCACCCTAATGCCTTGTATGTGAATTCATAGGTGGCCAACTTGATGAATTCCAATGATAGATTTAAAAAAAACAGTTCTTATAGTTATTCCCCTAAATTCTGTAGTAGGTGTTACACATTTCATTTGTATAATGTGAAGCTTAGTTTTCCCCTTATTTTAACCTTGGATTAATTTTTTTAGGGAGTGTTTAGGTGAAGCCCATGAACCTTGCGACTGTGAAACTTGGAAAAACTGGCTGCAGAAGATAACAGAAATGAAACCTGAAGAGCGTAAGAATGGCCATCGTGTCTCTTTTGTTTATTTTATAGAAACTCTATGTGAAGTGTCATAAGACTCTTATGTACTAGTATAAGGGAATAGCCTATAGCTAAATTTTCAGAGCTTAATAGATTTAGGACAATGCAAACAGGTTAGTGTGAGTGATGAGGAAACCTGCAGTTTCTCAAACTTGTCCAATTATGCACAAAGCAGCAGCAAGATTGAATTTATCTTGACTAATTGGGCTATATGCAAATTGAGTTTCCATAATTTTCAGGAACTATATTTGTGAGTTGAGTATTTGTATATATGGTTTGGGACTTGTAGATTTAAAATAAATACTCACTGCAGTCATAGCAAACAGTAAAGGTCTATGTTAAAAATTATTCATTTGAACTTCTCTCACACTCTAAAAGAGTGATTATTATTGTTGTTGTTATACTTTATTAAACATTTTTAAGAAAAAAGAAAAGAAAAAGAAAAAAAGGCAAAAAAGTGAATCAACAGAAAATTTACAAACTTCATAGAATTAAATAACACTAAATTTGTTAGGTAAGAATTTTCAATATTTCATTTGTTAATTTTTCATAAATGAATATCTTATTTTTAAAATTTCAGTTCATTATTAAAATCCAAGTAATACGTAAATAACAACAGCAATAATCTGTATGATATAAATTATGAAGATAAAGAATTATAGTAAGTTCTGTCTGAACAGTGAGAGATCTATACTTATTTAACAGATCATTGAAAATTAGAACATTAATACTTTATGTTAAAAAAAACCAAAATTTCAGAGAGGGTACAAACCACATTAAATTATAATCTCAAATGGTTTTCAAATTCAGTTAAATTCTGTGTTTCTTCAGATATTGAGATATACTCCCACAAATGGGATTTTCGGTGACTTGATTTTTTAAAAAAATTTTATGTTACAAACTTGAAAAATTAGAAAATTCAGTGATGCTTTTGTTGTTAAGGAAATGTTACCTGAGCATTATATACACATAATATTTTTATTTTCCCTCTTCAAAGTTGTGGGAGTTAGTGAAGCTTATGAAGATGCTGCCAACTGCTTATGGTTACTCACAAACTCCAAACCATGTGCCAACTGTAAATCTCCCATTCAGAAAAATGAGGGATGCAACCACATGCAGTGTGCAAAGGTAAGCAAAGATTACTGAAAGAATGGTATATTTTAAATCACATGCATGTATTGGACTGTACATTTCTAGAAGCTGGATTCATAATAACCTGACAAAAAGCAACATCTTTTGATTCTAAACATAGAATCAAAAACTTATGAAGTTATACAGAATTTAGCCTATTTTTTAAAAAGTAAACCTTGACAACACAATTAGTATTCATAATTCCTTCCATTACACTGATAAACAAAAAGTGAACATCTATCTAAATCCAAAAGTTTAAATTTGAGATTGTTCTGGCCTTCCAGTACTGAAGGTTAATTTTTTTGCTACAAACTAAGCTTATTAATTCCATAATTCTTCATATAGAGATAAATTCTGGATCTTTAGTTTAAAATTCAAAAATACATTCATATTCTTACATGGTAATGATCTTTACATCACCATATTAACAATCTTATGAATATCACATATTAATAGAATAAACCAATATCATATGAGTAAATGTTTCCTCATCCATTTTGTATTTCCAGCATAAAGGAATTAATTTCTGTTCCTTTTTAAACATTCTGTAGGGAGTCCAATAAATATGTAATATTTTATGGAATTAATTTCACCTTAAAATCATAAGACATACATATTTTAATAATTTTTAAGACCCTTTGCCACAGATTTATTGATATAGGATATCATGATTCCTTTTTCCAGAGTTTGTGCAAATAATTAATATCCATCTTAACAACATTCTTTAATTATTCATTGAAAAGTATTGTAGATTTTATGATTAAATAAATAATCAATTTTCACATGTGCACTGCTCAGCACAGGACTTGTGTGATATACAGTACATAATCAATTACAGCAATAGATCAGTAAATAGATCAAATACAGCAATAGATAAGTAAAAACCACATAATGAAACAAAATATAAAAACTTATTCCAAAAGAAGAACATAAAAACACATAAGTGCTGAGGAAAAAATCCTACCCATGGGTTCTGCCACTCCTAGACCCAATGTCTAAGGAAAAAAAAACCCAGAAGGTATGTTTAATACTTTCCGAAAGGCAGGTACGGTTGGGCCCAACCATATTTTAGGGGAGGATGCTGTTCCAAAGGGCAAAATCACATTCTAGATAATGATAAGTCTGAATTATTATGAGTTAATAAAAATAATTTATCAG